GCTCCATCTTCTCCACCTGAACGATTATTTGGTCGTTCCTTTGAAATTTTTTACTTATCGTCTTTAGTCCCCTCCGGATGTGCCAGTATTTTGGAGAAAGCTAAACATATTGACTCTAATTTGCTATAGTAACTGGTACCCCAGAAAAACCATACAAATAAATATTGTCATAAAAAGCAGACAGCAACTTGGATATTAGGAAAATAAAATCTTGGATTAGGAGGGGGATCAAAAGTGGATATGCCTGCTCTCATGTAAATAGTAAAAGTTGAGACTACTAAGAAAATGGAATATTCAAGTGATCACAGAATAGATGACAACACTCTCCTCTACATTTCTGAAGCAACAAGAGGTGATTGCTTAACTGGATCAAGGCTGTTTATTACATAACATGCAGCGAATGTGAGCAGAAGTACAATGATGAATCAAGAAGAAGAATCAACCTACAAATTGAGAGACATTATAAACTCTGTATAAAAATGGTTTCGGAAAGATCAGAAATAGCAGAACATACTATACAGAAGGGAGATGAAATCGATTGAAATCATACAAATTCTGGTTGCGTATGGTTAAAATACAGGAAACATATGATTCGGGAGGTTAACTATTTTCTTATTGAAAGAAATCTAATAAAAAAGAGACTTGTAGCAAGCAGAATTTTATATTGCTTAAGCAATCTCAAAGGAGATCAGAAAACAGCAATATCAACAAAAAGAAGAAAAAATCTAGAATTATCTTGAACCTGAGGAAAAGCAATCTCAAAGAGGACCCAGAGGGACGATATAGATGTCTGCAGTTTGTGGAAAATGTCTAGACTAACCTGTTTGAATACATGTTTTAACCTCTCTCCAGATCGGCCTGTTAGAAGATTTTGTTTTAATGCAGTAGCCCATATTTGGGAGAAAACTGCAGACTAAAACATAAAAGGTTATCTGAACCCAAATAAAAGTCTTCAAAGATCTATCGGTCTAGAACTCGGATTTTGCCGAATTCGTGGCTCGCACATGATTCCAAGTATACTCCTCTTATGCCAAATGCTAAGCTGAATATAGGGACTATGCCAGTAAACGGAAGTCATAGAAATTAACAAAACAATCAGCAATTAATTGAAGGTATGGATGTAGGAAGTTAGGTGGAAACTATTTTTGGCTGTTAGATAGGATTCTAAGGAGAATAAGTAATGAGAAGTATCACTGAACAAGTGGAAAGGGCTTGATTAAGCTCCGATATCGTTTTAACTTTTACATTACACCCATTTCCAGTTCTATGCATTCACACAGCACGCGTGCAATGGAAGCAATATCATGCACTAGTATTGCAGAATGAAAAATATAATTGTTTTAAGGAGGATGCAGCTCTGGTTATAATTGCATCTATTTCATGCCTCATCTTCTGCCGCTTCACATTTCGTCCGCAGACACTCAGTTTTTTAGCAAACATTTAAACAAAGCATATGCTATTCAACAAAACAATGAGATTCTTAATTAAATGAACCAAATAGATCTATTTGAAGTAGGTAGGCTCAAAGTCGGCCACGTCTTTATGTTTTGTCGAACTATCGCTAAGCATGGTTTCATGCTCTAGTGATGTCCGTCATATGACGGACAAAATCTCAGAAAGGATTCATTGAGTTCCAAGGACCTGTGCGCCAAGTACATACACGCACAAGTCTACAGTTACAGCTCTAAGGCGATCCCCCCACAGCTTCCGGTGATTCCGACTTACTAATCCCTTACACTCGCTATTACTTAAGTCTTTATGGTAAACTTCTCCATATGTTGGCGAGTTTAGTGTGGCGTCATCATACCTGCTGTTTACCTTGCCATTCTTCTATTTACTGATCTGAACTTGGTCTTCTATCCTGATCTCCCTGATGTGTCTGTAGATTCGTTTCTTTCTTTTCTGGTTGACTTATTATACTCGGTTGCAGCCCAAGTATACGTTTCCATAGATGTGCTATTTTTTAAGCCTTTAGACACACTACGCTGTCTCTACATCAAACAGAACGTTTAGGCTCTGATTCCCATGCTTGTAGATATCACTTTTTGTTTCCAATTCATTTCTTCCTGATTCACCCCTTGTTACCCGAGGAAACTTTGTACGCCCACCTCTCTTCGCCTGTTGCCTTTCAAGTAGATTTCTACTCAATTTTGTCATGATATCGGATTTATGTGACGATTGTGATTATCCCTCTTCCTAGTCCTGTGACTTTCAGATCTTCAAATGTTGTTTCTTTGAACAAACTGCGTCTTCGCTTGATTTCCTAATTTTCCCCACCAACTTCTTCCTTGCGATCCCTTTTCCTCTGATTGATGGTATGTCCTTGATTCAGGCCCCTCTTTTTTGCTGGTCTTGTCGTATCTTGTTTTCTTCTAGCTCTCTTTAGCAATAGGCAAATTTA